GGTATTGCCTACACGTACTTCAACGAGTGCCCGGGCGCTGGTTCCGGTAAAGGTCCTGGGCCTGATGATGGTGCCATTGTGGATCCGCAACTGCCCGCCATTCCTGACGGCCTCCCCGACCGTGGCGATATCTGCCCACGAACGACAACATGCGGCAGTTTCCCTGATCTAGACCGCTTCATCGCCATGGGTGACAGCTACTCTGCGGGTATCGGAGCAGGCAATCGTATCGTGGACAACAGATGGGACGTGGCAGGACGCTGTCTTCAGGGGTCCAATGCCCATTCCCGCGCCCTCTTCTACCAAGCGCCCTCGCTCCGTAACAAAGATTTCGAGTTCCTCTCGTGCTCGGGCGACAAGATCGAGAATATCCTCACCACCAAGAGCGGGCCCAAGAAGGATCCCCGAGACAAGAGCCAGCTGGAGATGCTGGAGCAGATCCCCAACACGTCCTTCTCAGTTATAACGCTCTCCATGGGCGGCAACAACGTAAAGTTTTCCAAAATCGCCCAGTACTGCCTTCTCATGGGCAAGGGTGGTGATGGACCCAACGCATGTGCCAACCTGATCACTATCGCCCAGCGCGCCATCGGCGTTGGGCCCTGGGCCGGTGTCTGGACGCCAGAGAAAATAGCCCTATATGCCGATCTAAGAACCATGTACCGCAAGCTGCTACAAGCCCCAGCCGCCGAGGATGCCACGCTCATCGTGACGGGCTACGGACGTTTCTTCAACGATGAAGACCAGTCCGGCACCTCTGACGAGGACTGCGCGAAGCGCACCATGAGCTTTGTTGCACGTGCCAGTCCGGCCGTAGGCGACTACCCGCCGTTCCTCACCCTTGAGATCCGGCGCACTGTCAACGAGGCCGTCGTCGGGCTCAACCAACTGATCCGAGACGCAATCGACGCCGTCAACAAGGAAGACTTTGCCTTGGAGAGTCTGCGCAAGGGCCACTATATTGACATCGACCAGCACTTTGACGGCTATCGTTGGTGCGATAAGGACGCCAACGGCCGCATTAAGAGCTTCAAGGACGACAGCTTCATGTTCCTGCCCTTCTCGACAGACATCATTAGCGACCCGGCTTCAGGGATGCCGCTCCCAGGCCGCAACGACGACACGGGGCCTCTGCTAAATCGTTCCTATGGGGTTGAAGATTGCAGCGAGGATGACCTCGAGAGCATGTGGACCTGCTTCCTCGATGGCCTGGACAAGGAAGACATCAACCAGGATCTGTATCCAGAAGCGTACGCCACTTTTGAAAAGAGAGCCGAATTACGGAAGTGGGGCCAGTACACGCTGATGAAGGCCTTCCATCCAAAGAGCATTGTGCACCTGCGGACGGCGGCCGATATTGAGCGGAGCTGGAAGACATGGCAGCTGGAGAGTGAGTGCCCCTGCGATGTTTAGCCCTAGTGAAGCGGCCTTCGGGCAGTTGCTTGTACATACATTAGTTTATTGTTTAATTCATTTGTCCCGTTTGTCCAATAAATCTGTGTCTTTGATTAACAGAGCGAAACCTGTATCGTCATGATTCCAGCATAACTTCTCATCTACAAGCTGGGAATCGAAGCGGTACAACCAATTTTAAGATAACATTCCAAAATTCAAATGTGCCATGCCATGCAGCTCACAGAATAGACGAGGTTGAAGTAGAATGATTTATATAACAAAGAAAAAAGACAAATAAAGACTGCTTGTTACTATCGTTATTTTCAGGAGATATGCAGAGAGAGAATTAGATTGAGCCGTGACGTCGAATACATACAAAAGCAAATTGCTTCGTTAGCACGTTTAGAATCAGAGCGGCGCAGCGTAACTAAATATACCCCGCACAGCTGACGGAGCAGAATCCTCCTTCGTACTCAATTGCCTCTGACGCCTCTATAAGCCTCGTAGAATTGTGTTTCGGAGTTCAGTAGCCGCAGGGCCTGACGAGGCGCAAGGTTTCGGAAATGCGGGAAGAGGTGGACGAATCCTGCAGCATTGGTGAGAAAACAACCAGGTCCGATAAGAGCGATTAGTAAAAAGGGTTGTTGTATTAGCTACTGGGATTCCCCTTCTCGTCGTATAGCTAAATGCAACGACTCGAATATCCCCACTTTATCTACCGTGCATTGGACGTGATAACTTTAGGTATAGCCTTGAGTGCTTCACTATTCAAGTAAAACTGCACGTCCACTCGTTTGGCTCCGGCATGGGCGCAGTGTTTGGGATGTTGCTGCTCTCTCTGAACTCGACGACCTTCCTCTTTCCGCCCACGTCCTTGACCACAGCAAACAAGGCATCGGTGAAGTACAGATCGCGCTTCAACAAAGCATGAGTGCCGCCCTCCCACCCAATCATGTAGACGGTACCGCCCTTGTCGCCGTTGGCGTTTGGAATAGCTAGCGTGTTGATGAAGCCGTGCTTGAAGGGCGCGAAGTTCTTGCCAAGCGTAACGTTCACGTTTCGGTACAGCTGTAGCCAGCCGTCGTAGTTGTAGTGCGTGTCGTTGAAGGTGGCCTTGAGGTCCGGCGAGAAGGTAGTAGCAAATACTTTGTCCCAGGCACCGTTTGCAGGGTATGGGAAGAATCCTACCAGGGGGTAAGTGACGTGAGCGCCTGAGGTTATTGCAAGTTGCAAATATAAGGCAATGTGGAAAGAACATACCGTTGACCTGGCACTCCATCCAACTAGAGAGCTGGATGCTCGCATTCATGCTCGGTTGGTTGGCAAGAGAGCATGGATTAGAGGTGTTGTCTCGTGGAACTAGACCGAGCATATCGAAGGAGGGCATTGCGAACACCGTTGAGGATGTGAGACCGCAGACGGCAACTAGTAGTACATCACGTCAGCGTTAGATCTCAAGAAAAAGCCTTGCGTTTCGCCGCGATGTAGAACCCTAGATCGTATTGTATCCAACCGAGGCGGCCTTACCAATGGCTGAAAATAACCGCATCATGTACTTGTGTACGAGCGAATCTGCCTGACGTTTCTCGGGAGAAGAGCGATTTGGACAATGATTGGTTAGGTGAGACTGTCTAGAGAAACCGAGTTAGAGGGTGGGAGCTGATATGTTTAAGTAAGAGCAGGAAATTAGGATACGGGTCAAAGAGAGAAGTACATCGGAAATGCTGTTATGTGATATGTGAGGGAGGCACAGACCGTGTTCGGGTGGCGACCTCCCAGAGCTGTCATTCATATTTTCCAGCTTCCTCTTACCTTTTCCGTCGAAGCGATTAACCTTATATGGCACCAGTCAATGTCTAGATGATCTGAAACACCAGGTAATTTCTATTCCTGGAGGATTTCGCGGCGAGGTAGCGTTTTCTTCAATCGCCTTGTCGCACAAGATCCGGAGGTACGCACGCGGGTCCCCCGACGTCAGCCCCCAAACGGCAAATGGCAATGCGGGTGAGATTTGTGCCAGGATACGACCAATGCGCCCTCGCCATGTCAACAAAAGTAGACTCTGGGGACCTCGAAATACAAATCTGAGACTTCAGCTACGCCGTCGGCGCGCGGCGCGTGGGCGCGAGTACACAAGCTTCATGTATAACGTCCCGCCCTGAATCTCTTCTTACGGCGTCTATATGCTCCGCCATGCCTTTGCCGCCTGAGCCTCTCCGAAGGCACCGCCGGTGCCCTAAAATACGATCCGCTTCCGCAGGATCTCGGATGGTATAAAGTCTAGCATCGCAGGTGCGGATATCAAGGGATAATTCAAACACATCTCTCGTTTTTTTTTTCTCTCAATGTCGATTTCCGATTCCGAATCCCAGATGCGCCGGTTCCAAGTGATGCAGCACTACCGCACGAGGCAAAGACAGTATCTGCAGTGGCGGGCCTCGCAGGAGCAGCAGCGAGAGAAGCCATGCTACTTCCCGCCACATCTGCGGATGCTCCGAAATGCTTGGTTTGCAAAGCGATACGAGAGATACAAGAAGCAGGCTTCAAGTATAAAGACAGAAGGAACAATAAGTGGAGATACGGAACCAACACCAACGCACTATACCCAAGGCGACATTGTACACGAGCTTGACGAGCTGGAAATAGTCGGACATAGGATCTGGCTGTGGCTGGACTTCAACGAAGAGGAAGATCGAGGGCGGCCGTTGCACAGAGACGGGGGGTCATGGAAGGGCTTCTGATAATAGCGAGTCTTGCTTCAAAGAGCGTCCAGTATCTAAAGCCAGGAGAGCAATATCAGAACAACATAGCCCTGTCACCACCAAAATACGACTCTCCCCTGAGGACAATATGGTCCCAGAAGTGGAAGCAGCAAGAGGACAAAAAGATCCGCCTAGTTCTACCAGGCCGACTTTCGCCCCAACAACTCAGCCCTGCTACCTTTCTCGTCACCCCAGACATCCGAACCATTTGCTCCAAGGCGAGGCGCATGCAGTCCCGGGACGACCCACCCCTCAACCCACTAAATATAGCCGGAACGCAGGACTGTGCGACAGTGACGGGATCGATGGAAGAAACCCCAAAATCGATAAGATCGGAGAAGGGGAATCAAGAGGCATTTGATGGGTGGAAATTCCATCCAGGTGCTCGGAATCTATTGCATGCGATTGCATGCGTTACTTCCCTTGCGTTTCGCCAAGGGCGAAACTTGCTATAGTAGAAGCAATAAATAGAAATGCGGATAGAGGTGGGAGCAAGCAAGTCTTCTTCTTCTTTTTAGCAATAGCGCGCTCGACAATATTCTAGAAAATCATATTGTTGCAAAAACAGTGCCATGATGTTGTGAGAGTACCAAATGTAATTTTTTTTCGCTCTATGTCTAAAGATTAAGCTTGTGTCTATGAGAACTTGCCGTCGGATATGTGGGTCCCAACGACGACGAAATTTTTTTCTTCGAAATTTTTTTTAGGTTCGCAACTTTGAGTCATTAGACCGCCCACATCGCAAACCACATGGATTTCACTTTGGGCGGCGTTCAATGTAAATTCCTGGCGTGGTTAAATAAGACTTTGTTTGCAGAAACCGTCATAACTACAAAATCAGCAGCCCGGCTGGCACAATCGGTAGCGCGTGAGACTCTTAATATTCGCAAGGATAGGCGATCTCAAGGTTATGGGTTCGAACCCCATGTTGGGCTCCATTCTCTCTTTTTTTTGAACCTTTTTTTTTTTTTTTTTTGAGGAAGCGGTCAGCGTCATTGCGACTCTATCCTTGATCTTCGCTTTTGTCTCTTCGCTTCTGTCTCTTCGCACCATCTCCAAGGTCCCCTCATCTTCCCCTATATTTTCATCTCACCTCCACGTCAGAGGATGATCTTCACCCCGTTGTATCTCCTACCAGCGGCTACCATTCTGCAGTTGACCCTTCCACATTCTCCCCGAGCCAGCAATGGAGCACGCCAACACCATCCCGTCCCACCTACCGCCTTCGAGATCCCACTACCTCCCCAACCAGCTCTCGCTCTTACCATGTATAGCCCGGAGCGGCAAGTACTACGTCTCGCTTGGACCCGCGGCTCGAGAGCGTGGGGGGGGGAGGGAAGACGGAATGGATGGGAGGAGGGATGGCGGATTCGACCATCATCTGCGGGTGCTACCGAGATTAGCACGTACATCCGTATCAGCGGCTGTTCTCTGAGCGCTGTATCGACGTTACCAGGTCCCGCTCCCGAATATGGCCCCACGTCTTTTCCGATCTCGTCCTATATATACCGTTCGTTGTCCATGTCGTATCAACTAATGTAGCAATGTGCGTCCTGGCATTGCATGAAGAAGGCTCTGGGTGTCTTGACTGGGTTAGCTCTAGAAGGACTTATTCGGCAGAGTATTGTTCAAGAACGAGATGGTAGGTGACGCCGTTATCGCCATATTAATGGGAGCTGAGCTGACAAAAGGAGGGGCTGTTTCGACATCCGGATCGGGCATTCCGATGGCTTACATCATTGACACGCTAGTATTAACACTGCACGCTTCAACCCCCAGGCTATTTACGTCAATAGGGTCATGATTGCTACTTCTTACGCCTACGCAATCATGAAACAAGGGATAGATTGCAGATCATCGTCCATATATTGCAACAGCTATTAAGATACACCTCCCTACAAACACATATATACTCAATTTTGAACTCCTTAAAATGCCCAGAAGACGCCTCGCAATAGATTTGCGGTATGCAACTCAAAAGGAAGTTCATGATAATCGTCAAAACTCACTTCCACGAGCTCATCGTGATCAAACGATGGAAAGCGGTATAGAGAAAATTAAAGGGCTCACCCGGGTAAGAAGACGCTGAGATGAAAAACAATGGGCAAGAATGGAGTTGACGCAAAATACAAACCCTCATACACCCTACATCTTCACCCGCTAGGCCAAAGGCCACCGGTTCTTCAACCCTTGCGTCCACTGGCCGTAGAGGATGTCAGCAAGCAGACTTTGCTGCTCCATACCCTTCTCTACATAGCCAGGCAACTTCTTCTCGTCCAATCCGGCGTACACATCATGGCCAAAGCTCTTCTCGCCACTAACAAACGCGCTCTGCCGGCGGCGATGAGACTTGAGATGTGGGTTGTTCTGTGCCAGGATAAGCTTTGGGCCCTTGAGTGCGTACGTTGACGTGGAGCCGTTGGGTGTGGACACCGGAGTTGATGCGGGCGTAGGATCAGGAGTGGAATGGAAGTCGGATGCAGACTTGGCAATGGCGCTCATCATTGTGGTCGTGCTGGACCGAATCCTCGTGGTGTTGGTTCCGTGGACGGTTGTGCCACTCAAGCTCGATTCACTGGTCTTCGTATTGTGTCGAGCCGGTGTCGGAACCGGAGTAACTGCAATGCCAAGGGCAGCCGCGAGTTTTGCGTCTCCTTGAAGGCGGTCAACCATTGCCTTCAATAGCAAAAACTCTCCTTGCGGATCAATTTGATCCAGCTCTGCCCAGGCTTGTGATACCCGCCCAATAGCTTCACGCTGATGAGGGGAACCGGACTCTGCGTAAGCCTCTTGGAATACGGAATCGAGAATTTTGCTATATGCTCGCCGTCCATATAGGGCATCTTTGGTGATGGGTGTTGGAGGATACTGCTTCACTGGTGCTGTATTCTCGTTGTTCACATCCATATCCAGAGGATGCGCGGAACTCGGCGGCGAGGGACGGAATGTTTGCGCAGTCGGATTCGGCTGGAACGAGGGAGGTGGCGGGTTAGACGATAGTGCTGCACGGCGTTCGCCAGAGGATACCCGCTTGAAGTGTCGAACGGTAGACGGCGAGTTTCCGAAATCGAGGTTTATCCCGAGGGGCTGCTTTGGGAAGTTGCTGACTCGGCGAGCAGTTGGCGTTGAACCGGAAGACACGCGTTTAGCCGTTGCTGTAGACGATGACCGCGAAGACGGACGGCAGCGGTCCGGAATAGGAGAATCCGGTCCGTTCCCCAGAGGGCCAGCGTTGAGATCCATGTGTTGCATCATAGAAGCGCATGCATTCGCGTCCGTGGATGGGATCCTTGCTGTCTTGCGGCGCTTCGCGGTGTGACGTGGTGCCACAACGGTCGGCGCCTTCTTGACTGTGTCGAAAATCCACCCATCCTCCTCAATGCGGGGAGACAGATCGACCCTGCTATGTTAGATGCGACTTTGAGGGTGGGTAGGGACTAATGCTTACATGGTCTCCTCGTAGTACTTGGTTCGGGATACGGAGTCTTCTTGTGCGTCGAACATTTGCTTGCGCTCAATCAACTCGCGCATAGCCTCAACCTTGCCAGCACGCTGGATGAATCGATGACGCAAAAGCTCCTTTGCTGTCGCTCGTCGGTCGGGATCTTTGATCAGGCACTGCGCTATGAAGTCCTTGAAGTCCTTTCCCCACTTATCACCCTCGAGGCGCGGTGCCGGGTTCTTAGGGATGATGAAGAGCACCTTCATGGGATGGACGCCGGCATTCGGGGGCTCTCCATTGGCCATCTCGAGGGCGGTTATACCCAGCGACCATATGTCGGCCCTAAAATCGTACCCTGCCTCCTGTATCACTTCGGGCGCCATCCAGAAGGGCGTCCCTACGAAGGTCATGCGCTGCGACTTGATGTTGGTCAATTGAGCAGCGACGCCAAAATCCGCGAGCTTGACCTTGCCCGATGACGTAAGGAGTGTATTGGCGGCTTTGATATCCCGGTGTATCTTGCCCGTCGAATGGAGGTAGTCCAAACCGAGGAGAAGCTCGCGACAGACAATGGCAATGTGGGCCTCGCTGAAGGTACCGGGCTTGAGCAAGTCCAGACAAGATCCTCCGCCCAGGTACTCCATGACAATCCATAGTTTGACGCCCTTGACAAAGCTCGTCTTGTACTCGGTGACGTAGGGGCTGCTGCAGGTGCTAAGCAGGGCAATTTCGGCTTGGATGTCGGCGAGCTCATCGTTGGTGTCCTCGAGGTCGATCTGGGGGTTGGTTAGCATGTGGTGGACGTGCAGCGGAGTTGCGATGTATTGCCTACCTGCTTGATTGCGACGACCTCCCCAGTTGTCTTGTCGACTGCCTTGTACACATGTCCAAAGCTTCCGACTATTGTTCGAGTTAGTGGGACAGGTGGAATCGGAGCAGGACCGAAACATACAGCCCAATTCCTCGAGCACCTGATAGTTCTCTGCCATGGCGTTGGATATGGATATTGTGGTGAGTAAGAATAACTTGAGCGCTCAGAAGATCTAAGCAACAAGAAAGGCCAGGCGGGAGGAGAACGGCGGGCGCCCGGGAGCAGGCGGAGCAGCTAGAAATGCCAGTTGTGCGGTGGGTTGAGGTTGAGGATGGAGCTGGAGTGGTGATGGTGGTGGTGGCTGCGATGGCGGATCGTGAGGTTGTTTAGCTAGGCCGTCCCCATAGCAACGGCGGGCGGATCAACAACGAGCACGCACGCAGCACGCACCGGGCCCGACTACTCGAAAACGTCGCGACGGCCGTGATGATGCGGCTTGGAGGGGCGAGTCTGGAGTGAAAGAAGTGAAGATTTCGCGCCTGCCAGCATTTCGCGGCGGGCGTCTCAAGCGTGGTGTTGAGCGTCCCGAGGGTCGGCGGCTGGCATTCACCACGGCGTACCTGCAGCAGTTCCATTCTTGGAGTCTGGTAGGAGCCGCGCTGCATATCAGCCATGCACGCATCCTCATGGAGATGGCCCGGGGGAGGCCCCGCGGCTGTCCACGAATTGAAAACGGCATCGACGGGCTGGCGATGGGGCAACGGCAAGAAGGTGGCCGTCAACATGCTGCCGAATCCGGCAAGCGCGCACACATCGGCCAATGGGAGGAGACGGCCACCCCGAGTCTGGACGGCGGGCCCATGCGGAATGCTGATCCTGTTGTACTTGTATTTCGTCATGCCGAACTCGACAAGTTTGATTCTATTCGCTCTGCAGAGCTGTCTACCGTGTATATAGCCTTCAGTCCAGCGCTGCAAGGGTAGAAGATACTGTACACAGTGACACAGTAGAGTTGTGTTTGGAAACAATTGAGCAATTGAGCAATTCAGCATTGTTGGCTATTCCATTGAGTATATTAGAGAGGAGGCTATTTGAGAGTACTCGGTGCAATGCCAGCATGCAGCTGCGTTCATGGGGGACTCTCAGTCGCCTTGGTTGATTGATGTTGTCTTGAAACGGGCACGAATCGCAGAGCACGTTTGAAACATCAGCGTCACTTGGACAGTGAAATTGGAGAGCTCGGTGCCGGCTTCTGCCGACCGTGCATGGAGGGATGGCTCAAACACACCGGCTGAAGGGTTGTCACGCCGTCATCTCACCCCGGGGTCGGACCGCGTCGGAGCGAGTCGGAGCGGGCCCTGCGAGGCTGGTGAGAGTGGTGCGAGATGCTGCCATGCCTGCGCCGTTCTCGTCGGTGTCTCTGTTGACGTTAGTGCTCGCACTGCATTCAGCAATTGCCATGCTGTCGAATGTCGACGCTGCCCCCCAAAGCGCCGTCGAGGGCATCGAAAAGAGGCTGGCGCGGGAGAGGCGGCCCCAGAAGGCTGCGTCTCTCACCGCAACTTGGTGGTAACCGCCAAGGACACGGGCAGGCGCAGGGAATGCAATTTGGGCGTGCAGCACGGGGGGGCGACTGGCACTGACTGGCACGACGGGCTCGACTGGCTGCCAGCACTCCCTCG